TGGAGCTCCTGGGCTTGGCAGGATGGGGGAAGATGGTGGAGGGGAGGAATGAGGAGATAAAGAATGGTGGCGGCGGCAGGGGAGGAAGGAAGAATGATGGTAGAGCCAATGTGTACTAACATAAGTCTGAGCCTTGCACAATCATCAAAAAGTGTCTTAAATGGGTCAGCAGATGATGACATATATGACCTCTGAGTAATACAAAAAGTCTTGAGTAAATAAAAACAATAAACATTAAACTAATTAAAAAACCAGGCATCGTGCTTGCCATGCTAGGTATAGCAATGGCCTCTCCCCCCAAGTTGAAGTCATCGCCTGAGAGCATTCGCTTCTGGGTGTCCTCTATGTTATCCATCGTTCCTACAAGACAGGTATGTATGATCCGAGTCGTACTCCTTGACTCGGATTTGCTTGTCATGTCTCACACAAGTGTTTGTTATCAGACGATAGTATACCCCGTTCTTGCTGGAGGAGGTCCTGGCCTTGGCGGTGCCGCTGATTCAAGCTCGCCACCGCCACCTCCCCTCGAGATCGTCAACACTGATTCCGAATCCGACTCAGAATTTCCATTCGTGGAAGAGTCGTGGATCGGTCGTGGACACCAGTGGAGCGATAGCTTACCGTCAAACGTCAAACGAGCACGTTCGCGAGCTGGTAGAGTGCCCCCGGAGATATCAATCGCATTCGTTCCATCTTCAGCCGCATCAGTCACCGGAGCACTCGCGCAGACGATTTTCAACAGTGCACCCTCTTGCATTGCACAGTCTCCAAACCTCCCGAATTACTCCTCATCACCTCCTCAAACTATCCCGAATCATTCCTCAGATCTTAGCATCCACCTTCGTCGCCTTCTCTCCGCTGTTCCTCATCGGCGAACACTCTCGGATACGTTCAACAATGCATGGCTCTCCGGCGCGCGCTCACTAAATATCCAGGGCTTCCTCTACCCCCTCTGGTCCGTTTCCTTACTTCTGGAGCTCAATATATTCACACTGCGGCGGGATAAATGGAACAGCGCGGTTCTGTTTCTGGACGAGGTTGAGGCGAATGCAGTCGATCTTGAGACATTGGAGCTCGTAGAGGAATGTCGTGCCACCTTCGACGTTATACCATTCAACTCTGTCGTTCCCACCATCGATGACGGTCGAACACTCCAGACCAGAGACCTTGCAGTTTTTCTTCGTAGCGGGACCTCTGGCTGGCTCACAGGCGAACTGATTGATGGTGGCGCTGACTACATCCGGCAGCGTCTCCGTCCAAACTCGCAGACAGAGATTGCGAGCACGCTGTTTCCCATTATAATGCACCAGCGACGACGCTCCGACCCAGATTTCGTGTACACAACATCCTCTCGTGGAGCCCTCGCAGGTTTGGAGAGTCGCATCCTTGATAGGACCATCAACATCGTTTACTTCCCGCTCCATGTTCATGGCGGGCACTGGACTCTTCTCAGAGTCGACTTCCGCGCCTGCACATTGGAGTATGCCGACTCTATGAACCACTCAGCGACCCTCCCCGACGAAATCCGAGCTGACTTTATTTGGTGGCTCTCTGCCGTGCTCTCCGAACGCTCCGCTCAATCCTTCCGCGCTCGCAAACCGACATTTGTCGTTCCAGACCAGAGTGACGGAGACTCATGTGGTGTGGTGGTCCTTTGCACAATCGCGTCGATTCTCCTTCGCCTTCCTGGCTGGAAGCAGGACTTTGCTACGGGCGAACGGATGCGGTGGTTCTTACGTTTTGCGGAGGTCTTTGGAGAGGGCGACAACGTTGGTCTTTTCATCTTCTTGCACATCAACCCTTTTGACTTACCGATGTCTGTGATCAGGATCTTGATGATGATGACGACGACGTTCCACCCGAGCCTCCTTTGTACCGAAAGCATCTACATCGGCGCCGGGATAATAACTGTTCTAGGAGGAGCTCCATCCCCTCCGATTGGGACATGTTGTCGCTGCAGTCCTGCACCGATCCCGGCACTTCCGCAACCTCATTGACCTCACCTCTGGCTGCGAACGACGTCTCATCGATGCCAGACCTGGAGACGGACCCCGACTCAGAGCCATCAATCGACGGCAGTATCTCCGTACCGTCTCACGCCACCCCATCGGTCCTCTCATTCGACACCATGTCCAATTCATCTTCACCTCCGAGAAAGCGTCCATTCCCTGGAGATCTGGGGCCCGATTCCAATACGGGCTCTACTAAGCGTAGTCGTCTGTCGTCTCATGATTCGACCGGCGACTCCGATGACACTTTTTCCGACTCTCCCGATGCACGTACGAAGGCTCCACGAGCAGCTGCAAAGCCAGGGAGCTCGTGGGTGAAGCAGAAGGCACTTCGAGACTCACTTACGAGTCAGAAGTCCTCTTTCCGTCCCTCTGATGCGAAGCTCGCGAAGTTCCGCCAGAAGATTCTTGAGGACGATGCTCATGCGGAATTTGACGATCATAATCCTCGCTGGGTTCGCTGCTCGACCTGTTCGTCCACGGTTCTCATGCGCGTCCTTTACGACCTTCATCACTGGCGAATTCATCGCAGATCGAAGAAGTGTCGCCGTCACCAAGAGGGCAGTACTCACAGTTCTTCCCTTCTCCAACACGGCTTCTTCAAACGACCCTCGTCGACTCCTACCCCGTCTTATCAACCAGCTACTGTATCTGCACCCTGCCCTGGACTCACGAGCGATCGTGATGTTCGCATTCGACGATACCTCAGCAGATCTGCGGCAGCCGGTGGTGGCGCACCTTCGCGTATTAGGTTAGCAGCAGAGATGTTTGGGTCAAGGTTTTCGGAGCTCGATGAGAGGCAGAGGCAGGCGGTGTTGCGAAGAGAGAGCCAGCTGCTCCGGTGGCGCAATATTCATGCGCTTGGTGCTGTCTATGCGGTGGACTGCGAGAAGGACGTCGAGGGACGCGTCGGCGAAGAACCCCCTCCTTGTGCGAAGTGTGCTGCACTCCACCACCTCCATCTTTTTCAAGTCGCTCTTAACCGGCCCCTTCCCGACGAGAACAACATGAAGTTCGTTCCTCATACTCATCGCTCCTCCGCACTCGGCAAATTATACCTCAAGCACAAGGGGCTTCGCGCTCTCGTCGAGGAGGGGGATGGTCGTTCACCATGGTTAAAGTTTGCTCAGGGTGCGGCGGCCGGTATTTATGAGAATGGTGGTATCGTTCTCGGGATGGTTGAGGCTCTGGTGAAGAAGAGCGAGCGCATACGCCTCGGGAAGTCTTTGCGTAACATGCAATACTCCGGAGCCTTTAACGACTTCTGCAACCTGATCGCTTCAGTATCACCTCGAGCATACCGAAGCTTCCGACAGCACTTTGGTGGGAGAGGCTTGCGTAGTATTCGGTGAGTTGATCGTTAGTTCTATTCTGTCAAATACACTCGTTGACCGGTATGCCATCACTAGAGAACATCGCGCTAAGCTCCCGCTTTTTGCTCCGGGAATCTCTCAAGCCAACGTCGACACCGCTTCTGCTACTCTAGACAACTACCACTACCTGGGGCCCGTCGCATTGTCATGGGATGATACGGCCCTTGAGCCCGCGCTGCAAGCCTACAAGGACTCTGACGGGACTTGGCTGATTTTGGGAGGTACTGAGGGACCCATTTCGGTTTCGTCGCATGAGGAGTTAGAGGCTATCTTCGCCAAGGGAAATATGAAGCCTGGAGACAAGGTATGTCATATTATATCCTCTCTGTTCTTGGCCCTATGCTTACCTCTTCATTTATTTAAGCTTCGCCTTTACGTTCTCACAATCCCACTGGCGAAGATCCCTCCTATCATTCTGGCTGCAGTTGTGCGCGGCGGTTCTGAGCGAGCCACGGATCTCAAAGTTATGCACGACCAGGTCATCACTCTCCTTCATAACGCCCACATCTACCCGGTATCATTGTCTTCCGATGGATCTGAGGTCGAGCGATCTGTTCAACGTATGATCCATCAGTCTGCACCTGATCTCCTGCGTTATACCATCGTTCACGAGCTTCCCAACTGTACTGTCAATCTCGAGATTCCCCTGATCTACGACCACCCGTCCGTCATCGTTCAGGATTCCAAGCACGCCCTGAAGACCGCTCGGAATCAGACTCTCACAGGCGCTCGAATCCTCGTTCTTGGCAATTACACTATCCACTTCGCACAATTGCAGGACATGGCACAAAACCCAGCGTCCCCTCTTCAGAGCCGCGATATCATCAACGTTGACAAGCAGCACGACGGCGCAGCTGCACGTTTATTCTCAGCGGAGGCCCTCAATTTTCATCTCACCAACTACTCGGAACAGCGCGGTCTGGCCACATATCTGTTCGTCATCGGTGAGCTCGTAGATGCATGGCAGAGTCGGAACATACCCCACATTGAACGTGTTCGCATGGTTCTGCGGGCCCGCTATTTCCTGATGGCATGGCGTACTCACATCGCGAGGCATCCTGACCACGACGTCAACACTCAGTTCATCTCACGCTCATCATACGACATCTTTCTCACTCTCAGCGACTCCCTCATCTCTCTGATCATCACCTATCGCAAGTTCTACTCCACCTACCCTCTACTTCCTTGGCTCCATTCCAGCGAACCATGCGAGCACCTTTTCGGTCTAATTCGTCAGATCAAACCCGACTTCAGTTATACGGACTTTCTCTATCTCCAGCCGAAGCTTCGAGCGCTTCTCCTTGGTGCATTCGGCGACCTCTCAGCTGAGCAACAGGCCAATGAAACCGCATCCGGCTACCACCACACATATTTCAAGGCCGACGACCTCGATCTGCGTTCGTTGATGGACTATCCGGACGATGTGCAGCTCCACTCCATACTGAAGTATGCGGTCGAAGATGTTATCGCTCTTCTCGCCCCTCTTGGTATCGACGGCAAGTCCATGCTTTCGACGTATATCCCGCCACCATCATATCTCCCCGTCCCCATACCCTGTTCTTCATCTTCATCCGTCGTCCACCCCAACCGCCAGCCACGCAACCTATACGAGCTCTTGTTCCTGTATCAAAATGCGAGTGTGCCTGTCGTTGTTGAAGAGCGTGTGGCGACCGTGGAGTTGGCTCTTGCTGCCGAAAGTATCGATGCAACCGCGAAGATGTGAGTCCATTTAGTGATGTCTTCCCGGCTGACTGCAACTGAACTTCCTATTACAGTTTACAACTTCCCGACTCGACCGAAGAGGATGCACGCTTGGTGCGCGACTCTGTCGAGACCGCATTGGCCTCTTGTGTTGCTACGGACTCAACCTTGGTGAGTATTTCTTGTTTCTTTGTTGTTTCAAGAACCAACCTGTACCCTCTGAGTCCTTGTACTGAACTTCATCGCATGAAAGAACGACGATTCTATCGACTTCAACAAGACTTTGACACTCATATCGCAGCACTCACTTGATCGCAACCTCGTGGTCAAAGTCCGCAGACGGCATCAGCCCAAGTCAACGACACAGGCTGTGCGCAAGGTCGGGCGCCACTCTTCTCTACTCAATGCGCGTACCACGAACGACCAACCTTCAGCCACCCCAAGTGAACCTTCACTCCGTGAAGCGCTTCTCAAAAAACTCGCAAACCTGGTCCCTGAAGACAAAACGTCCACGGCCGGTATCGATCGTCGCGTTCGCCACACCGGAACATATACCCGCGATAATGTCGTGCTTTCGGTGACTCGTAAACGGAACAAGGAAACCGTTCGCGAAGTTCATGGTCTGGTCAGTTCCTAGATCGTTTGATGTAGTGTACCTACTTTTGTGCTTACTTATACTGAACTCCGATCGAACAGAAACTAATCCGCATGCGCGAACGTATCTTCGCTCCGCTCAAGATGATCAACGAATACCTCCACACAGCAAATGTGTCCTCATTGAGTCCGCTTCGTCCCGGTCTTTTACTGATCTGCCTACATCCTCAAAACCATCGCATTGTTTTTGGTGAAGGTGTGTTTTCTGTTCCTGTCAACTAGGTTCTAACTTGCCACTCACGCACCCCGGGCCTTCACAGTTCTCACTATTTACACCAAGACAGGAGGCCGCAACTCACCACATGAGTGGATCTCGAGCCTCAATAGTATCGGCGAGGCGTCATACGTGTACATTCAAGTCTACGGCTTTTATCCTGCACTCGGAACAGCGATCTTATCCTCCATGTCCTGTCCATCATTGCAGTGCACGACCTTCCTTCGCATTCCGCCAACTCACATTATCCTTTCCATGGCATCATTTCCTGGTATCCAACGTCAGGGGCTTACCTCGGGGAGCTCGATCATCACCCTCTTGAATTTGTGCGAGGAATCTGGTCGGACTCTGGCCATTTTGAAGGATCGTGAGCGGGTTTTTAGCGGGGCGATTGACGAGTTGGCGAAGCTCATGCGTGAGAGGGAGGAGCCTATGATACCACCTTCGACTCACCCCATTTCCGAGCCTGTGGCACGATTGTCAGTGTCTACAGCTGTTCCTGCAGAGGTAGCGGATCATGAGGAGTTCTCGGGTGGCGAGGAAGCAACGGAATTTGATGGAGCAGCGTAGAGTGTCACTATATCTGAATAGTCTTTGGGCTATGTGTGCTAGGCCCGTTTGTTTTGTCGTTATGCGGACAAAACTACCGGAATAGTATGTTCGATCATTTATGCGTACAATATTCTGCCTGTGGGACATTGCATCCTGTATGCGCACATGAAGCTCGTGATTTGAGGTTTGATCAATAGTGCGGACAAAACTCTTCTGGATATATCTCTGATCCCATACTCGTACAATAGCCTCGCAAATCAACCTCCGATCAAAAACGAGTACAGAAATCGTCTGAAAAGGTGCCACCCGATCCGTGTGCGTACAAGTTGAACCAAAATTTGTCCGGACAAAAAGGGCCATTTCGGGCCATTTCGGATCGGACCTCCATAGGCATATGCCATGCGCCT